ACAGAACTGTACAAGTTGTACACTGATCCCTTTGGAGAGTGCTACTGCTTTTCAGGCTGTCGAGGACTGCTGTCTTGCTGTGAAAGATTGGATGTCATCAAACAGACTAAAATTAAATGATGATAAGACTGTTGCAATTATTTATGGTTCAGGCGCCAATCTTCGGAAAGTTACCATTGGATCAACAAAAGTTGGTGAATCAGAGATCCTTTTGTCCTCGACCGTCAGAGACCCTGGCTTTTATATTGACAGTAAACTTAGTATGATTCCCCATATCAGTTATGTTGTCAAGGCATGCTTCTGTCATCTGCGTGTCTTGGGTCAGCTGCGTTCTCAACTCAATAGGAGAAGAGCCAATGCTGTAGCAGTAACTCTAATCCAGTCAAGATTAGATTACTTTAATAGTTGTTATAGTTGTTTGTGGGGTTTACCTCAGAACCAAATTCAGAGACTCCAAAGTATATAAAATACTGCAGAACGCATTGTTTCGTGAATGAAAAAATCTGACCACATTACCCCAGTTCTACGAGATCTCCATTTGGTTCCTGTGAGTGAGCGCACTAACTACAAAATTCTGTCCCTGGCGTACAGCTGCATAGATGGCTCAGCATCGGAATATCTCAAGGAACTGATTTATAAACATGTATCCGTGAAGAGCCTGCGGTCTTCAACACAGTACTTACTGAGAGTTCCTAGTGTGGATGAACATAGAAAAAATTCTTACGGAGTGCGCTCTTTTGGAGCGATAGCGCCAAAATTATGGAACAGTGTGCCTCAATCTTTGAGGGGAATTATAAATGATAAAAAAAAAAAATCATTTAAGAAACAATTAAAAACTTTTTTTGTTTAAATAGATTTCGGAGGACCAGAGTGCAGTCAGCATGCTAAAATGGCATGGGTACCAGCGCGATTTAAATATCAAATCAATCAATCGCTCAAAAAGTCAAGCTTTTCACCAATTGTTGTTTTTAAATGTATACGTTTATGTAATTAGTAAATTTTATGTGAAGCGCAGTGAGGCAAGCCTCAGCTGGGCTGATGAGCAATAGAAAAACACACGTAATAATAATAAAGTGTATCTATGTCGGTTTACGATAAACATATAATCAATGGGATAGGTTTTGGATGTGTTTCCGACGACTTTGTGTCAATTTAAAGATAATTTGGAAAACAATGGGGTGATAATTAGTTTCTGAAAGATGAATTGAGCCTTATTTTTTAAAAATAAAATGCGGGTGGGGGGAGGGTAGGGGCAGAGAGAATTAGGAGAAGGGATAGGCTATAACCAGGTGCCTATTTTAAAGTTGACCACTCTGGGTGTGTGTTATTGATTGCAGTACACATCTATTTCTGTCTTTGTAATCTGTACATCTTACATCCTAAATATGTCGCAAAATTGGACATTTGAACTTTCCTTAAGTCAACATGGATATTTCTGTGTTTTTTTTTTTTATTTTAAGAATTGCCAGATTGCCAGAGTATGATCTCTTATTGCTATTATTACTTGAAAAGGAACGAATCGTTGTTTTTTTTCCTGTGTTTATTTTCTCCATCGTTTGATTCTCTGCTGACCTGGATAATGCTGGCTGGCATTGGTCCGTCACAATTTGACGATGGTGTTGACTTTCACGGGACGAAATCCACAAGGCCGGGATGATTCTTCTTGGAACATAAGCTGGCTCCAAACGGCAAATCGACGGTCTGCACGCCCCTGGATAACCCCAGGGAATATCATGTGGATGATACAGATTGCTACCAGTGACGTCGCAGGCGTTTTCGGAATGTTTCATAGCACCAATGTTGTCCGCTTACGGGACTCCATCTGAGGGTGTGAATTCAGAGTTTCCTTCTCTTAGATGAGTTGCCATCCACGGTTAACGCGTCCCGTCCACCATGATCAATGAAACCCAGTTTTTTAAAAAATATTGCAGTTTCAGAGGCGGCCCGGGGGGGGGGGAATTCTCCCCTTGCCCTACCCATATGATGCCCCTGCTCCTCACCAGAAAATTCCAAAAGGTTATATCAATCGATATTCAATAGTCACCGTCTTTAACACTTGTCTCAACATTTAAAACTAAATTTTGATTAAATTGTTTTCAACACTTTTTTTTTCTTCAAAGCTATCCCTGAGTTTGCAGTTTATGATTATTTCCGACTAAATTGTGTTTATTTCTTTATCAAATTTCTTAAGGAAAAAAGTCACGCCCTCTCTCCCCCACCCGTTACCAGGCGCATTGTCCTGTTGCCTCTCTTTTTATTGATGCTGCATATCTATTACAATGGAGAGACACGGTTGCTTATCTTCGCACATTATACAATGACGGCCGTACTTTCATTTAACACGCGATCGATCCATTTGGCTGTGTGGACCAACTGGTGGACCATTGAGTGGACCATTGTGTGGACCATTGTGTGGACCATCGTGTGGACCAGCGTGTAAAGCGCCGTAAAAACCACCGTGAGGACCTAAGTGTGATATAGCGTGCTGGCAAGCGAGTGGTCCAACATGTGGTCAAGCGTTCCTCAAAGTGGTGGTCTCACGAAATTTGAACCACCGAAACACATTCTTAATATTTGATCAGCTGTGTCCCATCTCACAATACTTCAAGAGAGGCTGCCAAAGGACCCCATAGATTTTCCTATCAATGCAATAGACCGCCACGGTGAACTTGAAGAACAAAATGATTCATGATTATGTGGTCTTGACACACCTGTTATGCTTTCTCTCACTTTTTAAAGCCTTCTCTTGTTACGACCATTCACAGTGCACATACATTTATTGGTGTTATAAATTAAACACATGAGTAAGAACGTCATTGTTTCATGGACTTGACATTTGTAGAGTTGACGTCTGGATTGGGGTATAATTCCGTTTTGGACTGCGGACAAAGTTTAGCATTTGACTAAAGGAAGAGTAAAGACTTGCACAGGACAAGGGTAGAGTTGAGTACTAGACTATTGTACATTATTAGCTAACGCTTTTAGGTAGTAACACAGATTCATAAACGCCCATATTTCTATAAAAGTTACAATCCATAAACGTTACAATCACTCGTTCAATTTCATAATTGACAGAGCTATAAATTCTTTACCAGAGAGATTTGAACAGTTGCAAAGTTTTAATAACACACGGGGATTTTTTAAAGGACTTAAAAATCTACCATACAATGATAACCGTAAAGTAGCATATGAAGTTTTGGAGAATACGTTAAGGTATCAAGAAAATAGCGATATAAATGGATGTGAATCGCACGGTACAAGGTGGCCGAGTGATCTAAACTGAGCGAAACCCAAGTTGATGGTTGATGGGAGTTCAATCCCCACAAAAGCCCAGTCAAGCAAAACGATGACGACCAGCACCTCGGATGGATGGGACTCGTTAACTTTGGACGGCAACTCATCTAAGAGACGGCAAACTCGGAGATGGAGTTCCGTAGGCGGATCAAATTACGACGCCAGTGGTGCCAAGCTGTATCATTCACATGATGTTCCCTTGGGTTATCCAGTGGCGTGGAGACAGGCGAGTTGCTGTTGGGAACCCGCTAATAATCCTAAAAGAATAGCCACAGGCCTTGTGAATATCGTCCGGCGAAGTCAACACCATCGTCACACTTGGACGATGCCAGGAAAAGGGTATTATGCCAAATATGTGGGTAGATTTAAAATAATGCTTCAATAAATATTACTTTATCCGCTGGCGAGAGAAGCTTTAGCAAACTAAAGCTTATATAAAAACATCTGTGTCAAGACAGAATAAGTTCTTTTGCAATTTTGACAAAACGAAATAATTTGCTAAGAATATCAAAGCATAAAATGCTTTTAAAAGATGTGCAGATCTAAAGAATAGAAAATAAAATGTAAGCGATAAGCTAACTATTCATACTTCCCATTGTTGCTTAAAAAAATTTTGTGGTGGCTCATCTTGAGCAGTTACAATACGAGCTTGGGATGGGTGCCTACCACAGTGCAAGAAAATTAAGAGGGTTCAATTAAATACTTCTCTTTGTAACTCCCCCCCCCCCAAAAAAAAAACAAAAAAACAACAACAACAAACAACAACAACAACAAATTAAAATAATAATTTGAATAAAATTAAACTCAAGTTCAAAATCTATTCATACTTCCCATAGTTGCTTAAAAAAATTTTGTGGGGGCTCATCTTGAGAAGTTAAAATACGAGCTTGGGATGGGTGCCTACCACAGTGCAAGAAAATTAAGAGGGTTCAATTAAATACTTCTCTTTGTAACCCCCCCCCCCCCAAAAAAAAAACAAAAAAACAACAACAACAAACAACAACAACAACAAATTAAAATAATAATTTGAATAAAATTAAACTCAAGTTCAAAACATCTTGCCAAATAATTTTTATTAATTTTAGCACATTCCATGCGACCATTCCTTTTTTGGAGGTGTTTTATTGGTATTATATTGGTAAATGATTGGTACTTATGATCATTATCAATAGAATTTAATAATTAAAATCTTATTCTAAAATCTTTAAGATGTTTATTACGTAATGAAGATGTTTATTTTGATATTGTTCAATGTCATCTTTAATTTCCACCAGGATTGTTTTACTGTGTTTCTACCTTTTGTTATACTTATTAACATGCTTTTAGATGGTGGTTGTCTTATTTGCATATTGTTATACTCTACATTCTTCCAGATGGTGATTATCCTATTTTTATTTTGTTATATTTCCCATGCTTCCAGATGGCGGTTATCCTATTTATATTTTGTTATAGTTCCCATGCTTCCAGATGGCGGTTATCCTATTTATATTTTGTTATATTTCCCATGCTTCCAGATGGCGGTTATCCTATTTATATTTTGTTATATTTCCCATGCTTCCAGATGGCGGTTATCCTATTTATATTTTGTTATATTTCCCATGCTTCCAGATGGCGGTTATCCTATTTATATTTTGTTATACTTAACAAGCTTCCAGGTGGTGTTTTTTTTTTTCCTATTTATATATTAAATAAAAAGACGTTAAGGTGTGTTTAAGCTCAAATTGATGAACTGCACGTTACAGAGAGATTATATTGTTCCGTTGATCCAAACTGGCCTCCGCGTCCAGCTGTGCCATCGATGGGTTCAGCGAGCACAGAAAATCATTAATGCAACAGCGCAGACCAAAGCCGTGACCAGAAAGATGAGACCTGCTAAGAGAAGGAAAGGTCAGTAAGATGACTGTTGAATTTTCAACGATTTATTCGTGAGCATTTGAAGGATCAAGTCAGTGTCAAAGTAAACGGTCAATCGATGCCACGGGACTATCTCACTAAAGCAGGGGGCGATTACTGGGAAATGTCAGGAATTAACGAACGGCAACCAACAGGAACGCCAAAATAACTCATTTTGTGACTTTCATCGAACAAATCTCTTCTGCACATTATCTCAGTGAGCGAGTTTTCAATAGCTAGGTTTAACCTTAAGCTCTTTGTTCTAACACGATATACCTTTATAAGATCTCGTGGACTCAAACATCCACTTCGTCCAATTTTCAACCATGGCAAGGAATTCAAATCATATGCTTTAACAGTAGAGACACGCCGTTTAAAAAGAAAAATAAATAAATAAACATGGGATTAAATTCGTGTGTATGCTTTAGCCATTTAGCAAAATAGACAATGTTATATGTTATATCTCATGGTAAAAGTCACTCAACTCCATTCTGCTTATCGACGTAATAGATAAAATACATACTAGGCATCCCGTTGTTCCCGCAGCGTGAGCTCGTCCCTGTGAAGAAATCATGAATTATGTTTTGAAAAACGTCTAAATTTATGTACTGGAGATTCAAAAGTAATAATTATGTTTTGAAAAACGTCTAAATTTATGTACTGGAGATTCAAAAGTAATAATTATGTTTTGAAAAACGTCTAAATTTATGTACTGGAGATTCAAAAGTAATAATTATGTTTTGAAAAACGTCTAAATTTATGTACTGGAGATTCAAAAGTAATAATTATGTTTTGAAAAACGTCTAGATTTATGTACTGGAGATTCAAAAGTAATAATTATGTTTTGAAAAACGTCTAAATTTATGTACTGGAGATTCAAAAGTAATAATTATGTTTTGAAAAACGTCTAAATTTATGTACTGGAGATTCAAAAGTAATAATTATGTTTTGAAAAACGTCTTAATGCATGTACTTGAAATTCAAAAGCAATAATTTTATTTTGAAAAACGTCTAAATTTATGTACTTGAGATTCAAAATCAATAATTTTATTTTGAAAAACGTCTGAATATATGTACTTGAGATTCAAAATCAATAATTTACTTCCTCAAATTTTGATAGCCACTCAAGCCACTTACGGTAGCCAGCTCCTGGTCTTGAAGCTTCCATTTGACATAAAGCATTGCCTATAAAAAAAATTTAAAAATGCAATTTAAAAAATTAAAAAAAAGAATAAGTTTCATTAAACTTTTAAAAACGAAGATTTTAAAATTCTAGAATTGTTAAGTTTAAAGGATAGTTCCTTAATGTAAGAACGTGTGACGGCTTCTATAGCCAGCCTCTTAGGAATTTCGTATCAAGGATTTCGTCCTGCAACCATATGCCTTCAACCCTTGGGGACCGGTTCAGAGAGCACCTCTATAACATAAATAAAAACGCTCTCTGTCCGGTCTCCAAACATTTCCATAGCCCTAACCATGGTGGTATCTCAGACATCGCAGATACTGGTATACTCTTTACTAGTAACACTACAGATAGACTCTATATGGAGAACAAATTAATAACTACATTTGTTACGTTGTCTCCACATGGAATGAACCAAATCCACAATTTTAACTAGCTGCCATGTCTTTTTCCTGTTTGGTTTTTACAATTTTGTTAAAATCACTTCCTTTCTACTCCTCTTTACTTTGTTTTTGTCTGGTTTTAGCAGCATCTCCTATTTTTTTCTGTTTTAGGTAGGATATGTATAATTATATTATGCAAATTTAATTTATACTTATTTAAATTCGTGTTTTGTTTGTTTGTACTGATGAAGGCATGTGCCGAAACGTTTACTTGTGTATATTGTATAATTATTATTACAGTTAACTTATATTGTTATATTGACACAATTTGTTCGTGTATTATTAATCAACCATAAGTCAAGACGTTTGCTTAATTAGCGTAATTGTAATTGGTAAGGTTATCGAGCATGTCTGCTTTACACTGTATCCGTCTCACACGCGTACAGGAGAGTTGTCCATAAAATTTCGTGACATACTTTCAGCTTAGGGGAAAAGAATAACACCTTTCCTCTCAGGCATTCCTGTGAAGTATTCCAACTTAAACCTTCGGCTAGGACAGTGGTTCTCAACCTTTTTAGTGCCACGACCCTTTTTATACAGTTTCTGGTGTCGTGGCGACCCCCAGCCACACAATTATTTTCGTTGTTACTTCATAGCTGTAAGGATATGTGTTTTCAGATGGTCTTAAGCGACCCCTAGGAAAGGGTCCCGTGACCCCCAAAGGGGTTGCGACACACAGGTTGAGAACCGCTGGACTAGGAGATTATGTTGTTTATCTCATCGTCCAATATTATTGGCCGTGAGAGGGTTCTGACTTTCTATTTTTGTTTTTTCCCACTCCTTGGAGCTTCTGTCTCACAGATGCGTTATTTTCATTGTAATATTGTCCACAGCTGTTCAGTACGTTATGTCTGTGGGGTTTCTTTCGATATGGATGTTGAGGTTGAAGTTGTCGAGGCCTTGGCTATCGAAAAAGAGATGGCATATTTAGCAAAATTTCAGTTTACATTTATGTTGCAGAGATCAGCTAAAAAGTGGTCTCTTATAAATGTTTATGTGACTTTCGAAATCGCTTGCGTTCTCCGAAGATTGAATAGCCCTCAATTTGTTCTGTATCTTTTTGGAATGACTTCATTACTGTCCATAAAAGCAGGGACAGCATGGCTGAACATACCAATCCTGGGGCTGGAATCAGCCTTATTTTTTCGCCATAAGTTACACGAAATGCCACAGACTCATCTCCAGAATCCGGTAATCTGGACTTGGAAACTTCTGCTTTGATGTTATATTCTAACGACTTTTGGTAAGGTCGTTGACGGATAAATGTAAAACCAACGATCTGAAATACAATCGGCTTTACCAACGCACGATTTATTTTATTTTTTTTTTAAACCGCGAGGATTTGACGATAATATCGCCGATTTATCAACAAAGGTAAATATTGCACCAGTAGTAGTTGTGATTTCATCTTTAGTTTTGGAGGGTGCCCTTTAACGCGATAATGAGGGGATGTTGTACGATTTTAACAAGTAATTAATTATATCCTCATCTTTCTTAGGGTGAATTCAAATAAGCCTAAAGTATAAACTGAGATCAATTTCGATGTGCGTTGTCTAAAATGCATTGCATTTTTTTTAAAAATTACATTCTGCTTTATTGAGACAGCTTAGGCGCACCAGGGTGTACCTAATATATTCCATTCCTCTTCGTGAAAAGATGGAGTAGCTTTTTTCAGAAACATAATTGAAGAGACTAATGAAGCTGATTCTGCAATGGCAGACTGTGCAACTCTTCCGCCTGGAGAAACTTAACGTGTTTCACTTTATTCATATGAATATGCTTTTTTTCTCCCAAGTACTTAATTTCGCATGTCTTGGGCCTGTTTGAATTATTGATACAGTGTTCGCCAGCCGGAATAGGGATCAGCAATGGTCTTCACTCGCCAATTTCGATATTGACCTTCTTCGTGCTTCTTATGACAATGACCTTACAGCGCCACAGGTGACCGTCAAATTAGGGTTGCCTGCTCACACATTGCTCCGTACAGCATGCCCTTCGGAATACTATCTTCCTCATTCTCTTCACATCGACTTTACAGTGAAGGTACCACCAACAACGAGTGCTGAAAATTTTAGCACTTTCCAGAACATCTGTGTTAGGCTTTTTTTTTAGTCTAGCCAACGAATACGCAAATCGTCACAGAAATCTTAGATGTAAGATATGGTATTTCCGCTCGTGACGTTACAATGACGTTGCGAGGGGGTTGGGGGGCATATGTCCCCGGGCGCCAGCTATTTAGGGGTGTCAAAATGTGCTTTGATATTTTTTTATTGATGAGAATAATGGGTATGAGAGTTTTCTAAAAAAATGAAAAGGGTGCTTTCTTAAAATGGATCTTGTCCTTGGGCGCCAATGTTGTCCCCGGGTGCCAAACACCCTCGTTACGCCTCTATGACTATACATACGAGCATGTATTTAGGAATGCGAGAAATTAATATATGCGTTTAGAACATGTTCTAATAATAAATATGTTAACTTACCGTACTTCATGGTCATATTACTATTTGCACTGAACGAATCCTTATCAGTGATAAAATTTAGTGGGAACAGTTTATTCCTGTGTTCAATATATGCCGTTAAAAAACACTTCACGCGAACGATCGTGGCCGACTCATAGTTACATCTGCATTTATCTAATGGGACTTGATGCGTATCTGTGCAATTTTCTTCCCACAGGTTAAAGAAGGCACTCATGATCTGAATAAAGAAAAATACATGGTTAAAAATAATAACATATTGTCAATTTCTGAAACTGCATACAGATCAGAGCCGAAACTATAAGGCATTTTAGTGCCCTGTACGACCTCTTAAGTTTCGCGCAATTCGACCCCTCCCCCCCCCTTTTCCGCCCATCATGACTGAAACCCCACCCACCTCGCCACCTCAACCGAAAATCGAACACTTATTCCCATGCCCCATTCCCCACACCCTCTGGGGCCATCCACCCCGAACGAAAGGCCGAACGCTAAAGTAATTTCAACAGATGTAGATACTCAAAATCTTAACCGTTTCAATTAATCATTAAGATTTGTTAAACCCACAATAGAATATGTTTGTAATTCGTTTACAAAAATACAAATGCATACAGTTCGTCAGCCTGTACATAGGACTAATAAGTTGTTAAGACAGTTGAAATACAAGCTAATACAACGTCCACTTTGGAATATGCCACACGAAACGAAGAATCACCTCCATTTAGTGTAGTATTACTTCCGTACTAACTGTTGATAGTGTATTGTTACTTCTGTACTAACTGTTGACAGTGTATTGTTACTTCTGTACTATTGACAGTGTATTGTTACTTCTTTACTAACTGTTCACAGTGCATTGTTACTTTTGTACAAACTGTTGACAGTGTATTTGTCCTTTTGTACTAACTGTTGGCAGTGTATTGTTACTTTAGTACTAACAGTTGACAGTGTGTTTGTCTCTTTAGTACTGTTGACAGTGTATTGTTACTTCTGTGATAGCTTTTGATTCTGTATTGTTACTTTAGTACTAATTGTTGACAGTGTATTTTTACTTTTGTTCTAACTGTTGACAGTGTATTGTTACTATTGCACTAACTGTTGACAGTGTAAATGTTGCTATTGTACTGTTGACAGTGTACTGTTTACTTTTTTTACTAACTGTTGACAGAGTATTGTTTCTTTTGTATTAACTGTTGACAGCGTTCAAGACATAGAGCCTAAAATAGAAAACATTTGAAATAAAACTAAATGTAATGGCAGCTCCTAAGATGGCAACAACATGATTGTATTGGCGCCCTTCAACCGGGGCAGTCAGCAATGTCACCAGCCCAATTATTAGCGTCCTTCTACCAGGACAGTCAGCAATGTCGCCAGCCCAATTATTGGCACCCTTCTACCCGGGCAGTCAGAAATGTCGCCAGCCCAATTATCGGCGCCCTTCTACCGGGGCAGTCAACAATGTCGCCAGCCCAATTATTGGCACCCTTCTACCGGGGCAGTCAGCAATGTCGCCAGCCCAATTATTGGCGTCCTTCTACCAGGCAGTCAGCCATGTCACCACGCAAAATTTTGGCGCCCTTCTACCGCGGCAGTCAGCCATGTCACCACGCAAAATTTTGGCGCCCTTCTACCGCGGCAGTCAGCCATGTCACCACGCAAAATTTTGGCGCCCTTCTACCGCGGCAGTCAGCCATGTCGCCACGCAATATTTTGGCGCCCTTCTACCGCGGCAGTTTCCTATGACACCAGCTCAAAATTTTGACGCCCATCTAACGGGGCAAGTCGCCCATGTCGCCAGCCCAATGTCTCGGCTCTATCATACACTAAAATATAATTTTTGCTTAAACATCCAAAAGCTACTTCATATATCTTTTTTTTACAGGTTAACAATGTTAACTTCATATATGATGAACTAAATTTGTGTCACTTTACACTTTTGTCACCTTACACGCTTTGCCAACTTACACTTTTTTTCGTCTCTTACTTTTTGCCACCTTAAAAGCTTTCTATCTTACACTCTTTGCGTCTTACAAGATTTACTTCTTACACGCTCTATCGTATTACACGCTTTGCCGTCTTACACGCTCTGTCATTTTACATGCTTTGCCGTCGTACACGCCTTGTGTATTTACACGTTTTACCGTCTTAAATGATTAGCCGTCTTTCATTGTTTTCCGTCATACACGCTTATTCGTCTCACAATTTTTGCCATCTTACACGCATTGCCGCCTTACACCTTTTTCGCCTTGCACGCTCTGCTGTCTTACACTCTTAGACGTCTTCTGGTTTTTTTAGATTTTACATATGAAGGGAGTCTGTTTTATGGTTGTGGTGCCTGGTCCAAAATAAAATAACCACCAGGGAAGGCAAGGGACAACGTGAAAATGGGGTGCTTATAGTTTAAATGACAACGTTGGGGAACATTGATAAGGAAATGAGAATTTAAGCGTACTTTGGGGGGCAGAGATTAAGGGACACAATTTTTACAGCTAACTTACCTGAAAAAAGAAGAGACGTGTATTAGACGTGTATATGCCAAATACGGCTTCGATTTTCGGAAGAGTCTTCCCAGTTACGTTGATGAAACCAGAAAGAATCAGACTTCCTGTGCGATTGCCGTCGTTACAACTTTTTCCCCCCAGGCTGTAATGAATAGGATCCCAGAAAGCTCTGTCAGAGATCGGCGGCCAGATGCTGGTATCTTTAAAAAATAAAAATAAAGAATGAATTTAGTTTTAGTTCAGATATAGTTTTCATTTCTCCCAAATTGTAACGTCTGTTTGTAAAGCTTGCCACAATTAGAGAAGACCAACAGAATCTTCAATAAGGAGCTCTTAATATCGGCTAAGCCTTCCGGGAAGGTTCATTGAATATTGTCTAAATTGGATGAACCAGAAGGTGCAGGTTCGCTCCAGGAAAATGATTCCTCAATTCAGTTTTGCAGGTAAACATCTAAAAGTTCCAGATGAGCGTGTCGCCTCAGAGCGCGATAGAAGGAAATGATGTCACGACTTAAGTTCACAATATTTTATGGAAAGATTGTTGAAGTTGTATACTTTAAGGAGTGTACAGCTTTAAGGTGTGTACAGCTTTAAGGCGTATACAGCTTTAAGGTGCGTTGTTATCGAGGGAAATACTGGATTAGGTTTGAAGTCGTATCATTTCAGAGTAGATCTTATACAACTTTGAGGAGAAACCACTTGCTGGTTATAGAAAAAAAATTAAACACAATTCAGCAATGTTTTAGGGCTTTTATTACTTCACTAACTTAGTTTTAACATATATTAATTTAATCAATCTCACCAGATTTTTCGATGAAAAATATCATAGCAATACTCGAGATCAGGACAGGTAACATCTGCATTTTCGATGCCAACAGATTTGATCAGCAGGTCTCAACTACCTCAAAATTTGAATTTAAAAACAAATAAAATAAATTGTTAAATATAAAACATTTTTTTTTGCATAAATGCATCATATAAATAATAATATAAATAAAATTTTAAAAAGGTTATTTTCGCAGATACTTATATATTTATGTTTCTTTTTTTTTTTTATTTCATAAAGTTTTGTTTCTTTAATTTATTTTTTTTTTTAATAATAATAATAAAAATAATCTACGTTTCAATTATGTCAGAAGGTGTTCGAGATATCTTAAAAATCTTTAGATCAAATTTATTATGATTAGAATTGTGACATAAAATCTAATACATTAAATAACTACTTTTAGATGCGCTGTGATGAGACGATAAATGTCCCGGTCTCAATCTGTTTCTCGTCTTACATTATTTGCTAATAATTTTAAAAAGTTTTGTTTAAAAGTCCTAGCAAAAGTGACGCAGACAACAAGATGGCGCCCATATTCATATTAATGTCTATGTGTCCGTTACAGATAAAGTGTTAAAACCATAGTATGCCTAGGCAAAGTGTATAGTGTCTCAAATAGTTCACACTTTGACCAGAATCGTCCTGCATTCTAAGGGATGTCTAGAGAAGTATAGATCCCCAAACTTACCCAACAATCTTATAACACTCGTCCTAGAAAACAAATGTATTGGACGAACCAATCCACCTTAGATCAGCTGAAAGTCAACAATCTCCTGGACCTAAGCAAGTCAACAATCTCCTGGACCTGGGGCAGTCAATAATCTACTTGACCTAGCAAAGACCACAATCTACTGTAACTGGGCAATTCAACAGTCCACTGGGCGTGAGCAATTCAAAATTCAACTGTACCTTGGGTAGTCAACAATCTACTTGACCTAGACCATTCAACAATCTACTGGACATTGGCAAATTAACAATCTACTGGACATTGGCAAATTAACAATCTACTGGACCTAGACAAGTCAACAATCTACTGTACCTAGGCAAGTCAACAATCTACTGGACCTAGGCAAGTCAACAATCTACGGTACCTTGGCAATTCAACAATCTGCTGGACCTTGGCAAGTCAAAAATTTACTGGACCTAGGCAAGTCAACAATCTACTGGACCTTGGCAAGTCAACAATCTAATGGACCTATGCAAGTCAACAATCTACGGGATCTAGGCAATTCAACATTTTACTGGACCTTGGCAAGTCAACAATCTACGGGACCTAGTCAATTTAAGAATAAACTGGACTTTGGAAATTCAACAATCTACTGGACCTAGGAAATCCAACAATCTACTGAACCTGGTAAATTCAACAATCTACTGGACCTTGGCAAGAGAAGAATCTATTGGACAGGGGCAAGTCAACAATCTACTGACGCTGTAATTACATCAGGCAACCGTGGAAAATACTATTGGCGGCCCTGGCGCAAGTGGGGCCCAAAAGTCAGAATTTTAGTGTACAATTTTGTTTTATGACAAATTTGCGATGGCCTCAAATTTGGATTAGGTCGAGGCCCAAAAACCATCAGCAACGCGCCTTAATTACTCGAAAACTTTAAGAAAAAAAGTAACCTTTGAAAGCCAATATTAACTACTGTCGCCTTTTTTTTTTTACTATTGCTTTAGGTGATAATTAATTCTAGATTGCATCCGGTTGATTCCGCCAGACTTTTTCGAAAAAGAATTTCTTGTATTTAAAATAGTGTGACTAGCTTGAATCAAATATCCAACATACGTGTATGTCCTTAATCTGTTAAGGACATATATATGTGTGCTCAATCTTCTACATGGTATAAAAGATTTCAAACATTTTTTTTTTTAAAGTCCAAGAGCATGTATACACCGTAATTTCTATTTATCAAAATGTATGATTTAAAATATTTTTTATAAAAGTTAACTTTTAACCAATGACAGACAACCTGTCACTTTATAAACTTCGTAATGAACGGTGCGAATTCGGTACAAAGTTTTAAGATTAATTAAAGGTACGCAATTTTCTTTTTATTAAAAAAGTTAATAGTAGACCAATGCTGAAATATAATATATTAGTTATAGTTCGCCAAACATTGGTGAAGGCAAGGTGAGGACTTCCCATCTGCTAAAGTTACTTGACAAAACACGAACTCAAGAAAGAATTTAAGAATTCCAATTTTGTCTAAGCCCCTTTCCCCCATGATACGTCATTGCACACTTTTTATTTCAGGTCCATGAACTATATTATATATGGCATCCTTCGGTCTTCGCGCGATGATGGAGTAGCTATGCACACTTTAACCAATGTCTGCCTCAATAGGCCAATCCTGGACTGTATTTCTCACAGTAAAATATTGACTCCTGGTTAGATTTAGCCTTCCGTATTTTTCTTTGTGTTTGGAAGGGCTTCCTTTCGTACATCTTCTGCCTTTTTGACTTCTTCTTACACTGCTGTTTGCCATCTGGAACGTTGCTCAGCAATGATCTCCAATGTGTTGATTTCAATGTTGCCTTCCCTCTTGCTTCTTTTGAAATCGTCCGTGAATCTCAGGCGTGGCCGTCCAATAAGTCTTGACCCTCCTGCTAACTCTCCATACAGTAGGATATTTGGGACAAAGTCTCCCTCCATTCACCTTACATTTCTTAACAAGGAAAGGCGCCTCTTTTTCTTTGTCTACATATTAAGGGCCCACGTTCAATTTATTGATCATTCTGGCTCCTATGCAAGTAGACGGGATTTGCAATGTTTCTGTGCCTGCTGTTTATGAGTATTTTTCACTGGTTGCAAGGGATACTTAGTGGGGGTATCATTCACTGGGTGGTGGAAGGCCTGAAGCCATAGACGCGAATGTGTCAAGTTCGTCGCCTCAAATATTTCTTTTGAAAGCTTGTTTCAGTCTCTGATTGTCTTCGACAGGAATGAGCAGTTCCTATAGCTTTTCGCTCGTCCGAGCTTCCTGCTCAGAATGAAGTATATGCTTAACATTTTTCAAGTTCCAAGAGCTCTGTGTTAGGCAACCTGTTAAATTTGGCTGACTCGCAGAGACCCCCCCCCCCCGAGACTTGATCTATTTTCATTTCAGAAGCTAACTTATACAATGTTGTGATCCCGGCCCTAAAAGATTTGAAGTTATTACTTTATAATCAAGCTATATTTTAATGTTTTTATGAACGTTACATTAAAATTATATTTACAAAGATTGCAGGTCCCAACCTTTTACTTCATTAAACGTGCATGTTATTTGCTAATTAGTTTATTTTTAAACTATATTTTAATACCTGAATTTTTTTGCTTTTTCCCTTTCATATACACTTTTAGGGTAATGAACTTTTCAACAACTACTAATAATTTCCATTTAAAAAAACAATTAAAATTGCTTTTCCACCCATTTTCCCATCTTTTGGTAAATAGTTGAAATAACTTTTTCAACCATCCTCTCCCCTCTTTATTTCACAAGTGTTTGTACTACTTATTTTTATCTGCCGCCATCTTGGTTGACACCTTTGACGGGTCGTGTCAACCAACATGGCGGTCATGGAAAAAAAATGGGTTGATCTCTTTGCATTTACTAAAAAAGAGAAACCTGATTTTTTTAAATTCAATACTGTTTCCCCTTCTCTCCTGCCCCCAACCCCCACCCCCCCACCCAATTTCGTAGCCAACACCACAAGTGACCCAGTCGTGTGTTAATTCCCCCATTTCCGTCGCCAACACTACAGTAGAGTGAGCTTCTTGTGTGTTAATTCTTGAATGTCCTTGGTTTGATCTCTTATTTCTATGCAAGGGACCATTGTTCTGAGTTGGTGTGGCATGTGTTTGACACTAGTGTGTTCAGCTTGGACATTTTAAGCTGTTGTTGGGGGTTTCAAAACTCTTCTTTGTCAGTTAAGTCAATGATTTTTGTAAAGACTTATTTAGGTTTTCATCAAGATAAGTATAATTTTTTTTTTTAAAACACCAATTGTTGGCCATTCCTTAGTAATAACAAACATTTTTAGTAATTGAACGCTTTTAAATGAATTGTAGCTCATTGTGATTTCGAAATTAGCAAACAAAATTTTAATTTACCTTGAAAGGATAATAAATATAAAAATTTGAGTCGTAGCTGCTAATATATCAACCAATCAATGATAGTACTTGTATATCAACCAATCAATGATGGTACTTGCATATCAACCAATCAGTGATAGTAATTGCATATCAACCAATCAATGATAGTACTTGTATATCAAACAATCAATGATAGTACTTGCATATCAACCGATCAATGATAGTAATTGCAAATCAACCAATTGATAGTACTTGTATATCATCCAATCAATGATAGTACTTTTATATCAAACAATTAATGATAGTACTTGTATATCAACCAATCAATGGTAGTACTTGTTTATCAAACAATAAATGATAGTACTTGCATATCAAACAATAAATGATAGTAATTGCATATCAACCAATCAATGATTAGTAATTGCAGATCAACCAATCAACAAGGGTAATTGCATATCAACCAATGAATGATCGAAATAGTTGTGGTCGTATTTGCTATTTATGTAGTGGTCGTTATGGAAGAAGTTGTAATTTTAGTTAAATTTCTAGATGTAGTTGTAGTTAGAATTGTAATTGGATTGGTATGTACAGATAAAGCTGCAGATGTAGATGTGGTTTCAGTTGAAGTTGTAGATTAAAGACCGATCGAATTTCGGTTTCGGCACCGAAAGTGGCCATTTTATCACTTTTGGCCAAGTTTCGGTTTCGGCTGAAAGTAAAAGTAAACTTTCGGCTTCATTCTGTTTCGGTCGAAAAAGAAAAGTTAACTTTCGGTTGTTTTTTTCGGTTTCGGCTGAATTTAACTTAGACTTTCGGCGATCAGTGACTGGGGTTTTTGATAATCTAATTCTCAGCAAAAGCGATCTTTAACAACAAACTAAGCGACATTTAAGAACAAAATAAATGATCTTTAAGAACAAATTAAGCAATATTTAAGAACAAACTAAACGATCTTTTAAAAAAAATGATTTAAAAAAACAAAGCGATCTTTAAGGAACAAATTAAGCGATATTTAACGACAAATTAAGCGACTTTTTAAGAACAAACTAAACGATCTTTAAGAGCAATCTAAGAGATCTTTTATTAAAAACTAAACGATCTTAAAGAACAAACTAAGCCATTTTACAGAACGAACTAAATGATCTTTAAGAACAAATCAAACGATCTTTGATAGTAAACTAAATGATTTATAAGAATAAACTATGCGATCTTTAACAGAAAACTAAATGTTCTTTAGGAACAAACTAAAAGATATTTAAGAAAAAACTAATCGATCTTTAGGAACAAAATCAATTATATATGTCTATAAGAACAAACTAAGCGATCTTTATGAAAAAAAACTAAGCGATCTTCAACAAAATAAGCGATCTTTAAGAACAAACTAAACGATTTTTTAATAGCAAACTAAAAGATCTATAAAAACAAACTAAATGATCTTTAAGAACAAACTGAATGATCTTTAAGAACAACTAAGCGATATTTAAGAACAAATCAATGATCTTTAAGAACAAACTTAGCGATTTTTATGAATAAACTAAACGATCTTTAAATAACACAAACTAAGCGATCTTTAAGAAAAAACTTAGCAATCTTTTTTGAACTAAATGATCTTTATATACGAATCTAAAAGATCTTTAAACAAAAACAAAGAGATCTTTAAGATCAAACTAAGCGATGTTATAAAACAAACCATTTTTAACAAACTAAGCGATCTTTAAGAACAAATTAAACGATCTTTAACAACAAGATGTTATATTAGATGTTTATTTATTAATATTCACGATTATCTCATTTTTTAATAAAAAGAATGTAAATATGTATACTTTCCCCCATCATTTTCGATGTATGCAGAATGTATGCGGTAACGAATTTCAAAATATCTGAATATTTCATTTTCGGTTTCGGCTTCGGCCAAAAGTCATTTTTAACTTTCAGCCTTTTTTCGGTTTCGGCCGAAATCAGAAAATCACTTTCGGTCGGTCTCTATTGTTGATTTAGTTGAATTTTTAGATGCAGTAGTTGATTTAATTGCAGTTTTAGAAATATCTGCTATTGATGTAGTCGTATTTGTACCTATTGATATGTTGCAGTTGTAGATGTAGCTGCAGTTTAATATTTAGTTGTAGATTTTGTTGTAGATGTAGTTGATTTTTTGAAGTTTTAGTTATAATTGCAGTTTTAGTATTAGATATAGTTGAAGATGTAGTTATTGGTGATGTTTTTGTAGTTGCAGCTTTAGTTGTATTTTAGTTTTAATTGAAAATGCAGCTGTATATGTAGTTTTTAATGTAAATTTAGTTTTGAATACATATGTAAATGCAGTTGTAGAGGTTGTTGTAGTTGTAGATTTACTTGTAGATGTAGTTATAGATGGAATGTTCCATTGTGTCAATGTGGATGATACAGCCTGGCAACTGTGGCCCCAGCAGTAGATGGAATGTTTCATTGTGTCAATGTGGAGGATACAGCTTGGCAACTGTGGCCCCAGCAGTAGATGGAATGTTTCATTGTGTCAATGTGGATGATACAGCCTGGCAAATGTGGCCCCAGCAGTAGATGGAATGTTTCATTGTGTCAA